CTTTGTTTCTTTTTCTCACAAAATCACCATTATTATTCATCAATTTTTATTTTATTTTTTATTTTTTTAATAGTTATTTTAAATAATTATTTAATGATTTTAAAATAGTTTTAATATTGATTAATTTATCTTTTTTATAAGTAAATTTTATTGTATTTAAATTATAAATATAGGTCAGCGACTTTTGATATGACTAAAAAGTCGGCGACTTTTTAGGAAACTCAAAAGTCGCCGAACAGCTATAATTGATTATGTATTTATCAAAAGATCATGATTTATTCGTCAAATAATACATAAAAACATTCAACAATTGAAGTTTGTTGTTATTAAATATAATATATTAATCATAAAATTGTAAAAAAAAATTTATATTATAATTATATTATAAAATAATATAAATAAGTAAAACAATGCAAAAATTCTTAATAATCTATATTATAAAATGAAAATTCTTTCAAAACATTTAAATAATTATTAATTATTATCAACATATTATATGATTATAATTGTCGTTTTAATCTATATTTAATTGAATTATTAAGACATTAAAAAAATAAATAGTTATTTAAATACACAATCTAATATCAGAAAAAACAATTAAAATGAACAGTTGCTTATTTTTAATTATTTTTGTGGTTGAAACTTATACTTACGTATGTGACTGTTACCCAAAAGGAGATAAACAAACTGATGAAAATGCGTTTAACTGTTCTAATCACGTTTTTTCAGAAAGTTCTTCTTTATGTTTAACAGAAGATTTTTGGTTTACAAAAGATTTATCATTAGGTTCACTTTTAATAAAATCTTCAGATGTCATGACCATAATTTCGAATAAATGGATAAACGTTTTACAACTCTTTTATATTTCCAAAGACACTACTCTTGTTCTCAATGGGTTATTTCACTCAGAAAAAAATTTGACCGTAGAAGATAATGCAACAATAAACATTTTTGGTCAATTTTCAATAAGTGGAAATTTGGCAATTGTGAATCCACAACTTAATAAGCCACGTATAATGTTATGGCAATCTAATAGGCTTCACTTGTACATAAACGACAAAAAAACAAATTTTTCTATTGTAAATCCCATTCAAAATGTAAATTGTTTCGATGTTTTTTCAATGAATAACTCAACTTGTTTAAATTTTGACACAACTAACACTCATCTAAATTCAACTGATTTTTCTCATAATTTTACCGAAGGTGTTGCGTTTCTTTTATAGAATAATAAATTGATGAGATTTTGTCCAAAAAATACAATACTTGATAACACAGTGATATGTACTTTAAATCAAAATATATATCAAACAAATTACACCGCAAATACAAACTATGCGTTTGAAAATCCACACTGCCCGTGTGACGATAAAAACACAAGTTGTTATTTATATTTAAATCAAAACGTTTCAATTGTCAATTTTAACAATCACAAAATGCCAAATACAATTTATGTTATTGACAAAGACGTGAAGATATTAAACGCAAATACAATCAAAGAAATTGATATTGCAGACGATGTTAGTGTTGATATAACATCGTTGTATACTGGCGATATTATCAAGTTTTCATTTGGGACTTTAAATGTACTAAAGAGTGATACACAATCAACTTATTTATTAAAATACAACTCATTAACACACACATTAAATATATCTCAAAACTTGTATTTTGGTATTAATATATCAAGTGGAATAACAGAGATTAAATTAAATGTTAAAGGAGCAATTGAAAATGTTACAATTAATAATAATTGTTCTGTATCATTTGGAGAAAATGTGACAATAGTGAATCAACTCACATTTGCACCTTTTATTGATACAAATGTCGTTGTCGTGTTATATTTTGAAAATGATACAGTAGAGAACTCGATAAGTCCAAATTGTATATTGATGAAAAGTTCTTTGTCAAGTACAATTTGTTTAAAATGTAATGCAAAAACTATACTTGTTGGTGGTTCCTGTGTCGAAATAACTGATAACTGTCGAAGTTTTAATAAAGAAAATTATTGCATTGAATGTAAAATTGGCTATTATTTGGATTCCAAAAATGAATGTAAAAATTTTGATTATTCTTGTAATATCGGCAATGAAAGTGTGTGTATCAAATGTGATAATTATCATTTTTTTAATAATGGAGTATGTATTTCAAACGAAAAATGTAAAGCAACTAATGGTATTAATTGCTTAAAATGTTTAGCAGGAGAACTTACAAACAATTGTGATTTATGCAGTGTTTTCAATTGTATGACATGTGTTAACAACAATTGTATTATATGTAATGATGGCTATTATCTTGGAAATGATGGAATTTGCCATTTAACACTTGACACATCGGTTTATTTTTACAACAACATTATTTACTGTAAAGATGGGTATTACATTGATAACTCTGAGTGCAAAAATTGCTTATTAAAAAATACAAATTTGACCAAGTGTGATGTTAATAAGCCAATTCAATGTTCTACTAATTTTGAAATCACAGAAAGCGGAAATTGTGCATCGACAACATGCAAAAACAATGAAGAGTATGAAGAAAATGGGAGGTGTTCTATAACGCAAGAAAATTGTGTTTTTACACTTAATAACAAGTGTGTTAAATGCATTGATAATTACACAATAAACGACAGTGGTAATTGTATACAAAACGATGGAAATATCAAACAAACTAATTGTGAAATAGCAACAAAGTATGGGTGTGTGAGGTGTGATGACAATTACTTTTTGTCATATAGAAAGTGTGTGAATTGTGATAATAACTGTGACACTTGTATATCAACTTCGACATTTTGTCTTTCATGTAAAGCTGGAACTTTTTTGAGTGACCACAAGTGTATTACAAATAATGATTTGGATGGTATTTGCAAACAATTTATAGCATCGGGTGGGTGTGTCAAATGTATTGATGGATATTACAGAAGTGAGTTGTCTTGTGAGAAATGTGATGTTAAATGTGGGACTTGCAACAATAGAGAAAGTTGTTTGACATGTAACTTGACAAATTATATAACATCAAAAAATGAATGCAAACCACAAAGCGACATTGTTGGGTGTCAAGTAGAAACAACACAAAATGGATGTTCAAAGTGTTCTGATGGGTATTTCTCAATCAACACAAATGAGTGTGAGAAGTGTGGCGCGACTTGTGCAACGTGTTCAAAAACAAAAGAAATGTGCACTTCATGTGATACAAATAAAGTTTTGGTTGACTCACAATGTGTTGATATTTTATTAATAACAAATTGCAAAAAAGTTGGTGATTCAAAATGCACAAAATGTTCATTTTGGCACACACCAAGCGTAGATGGCACGTATTGCAAAACTCAAGTAGTGTGGTGGATTATAGTGATTATAGTACTTTTCATAATATGTATATTTATTGTGACGACATTGGTGATTGTGTTAATCGCAAAACACGTCTCAAAATATTTGAAAGAGAAGTCCATTGAGACGACAACGACACTCTTTGATATGTCAAAGTCGAACATTCAATTTGTGACAATTGGTGATGGTGTTGTGGTAAATAAAACAAAAATTGTTTTCAACGATGGCGAAGAAGTCGAAGTCAACGAAAAGCAGAGAGATTTGTTGTGTGTTGGTAATGTCACCAAACACAACATGAAAATCCAAATTACAACACAAACACTCACAAACCAGAAATATCAAATTGAAAGTAATCCGCGAATAGTTGTGTTACCAAAAGGCTTTGCGTGTGAATTTGAGATATTACTGACACTTCTGTGTACTTCTAAAATTGAAAGTAAAATACTGTTAGTGGCCAATTCGTATACACAACAAAAAGCAATTTGCAAAGAAATTGGGATATCTGCTGTATCAAAAATTTCAATTCGAATTGATCCAGACGAGTTAATAGAAGGTGTTAAAATAGGAGAAGGATCCTTTGGTATTGTATACAAAGGAAAATACATGGGAAACACTGTTGTTATTAAAAAGATGAAAAGTGCACAAGAAAACGTGATGGATGAATTCACCAAAGAAGTTTCTATGTTGGACAAATTCCGAAGTGAGTACATTGTCCACTTCTATGGCGCTGTATTTATACCAAATAAAGTGTGTATGGTTACTGAATATGCACAATTTGGAAGTTTGAAGGATTTGATAAATCACAAAAATTCAAAAGAAGTTAATATGCAAATTCGTGTTAAAATGATGTTGGACGCTGCTAAAGGTATTTTGTATTTACACTCAAACGGGATATTACACAGAGACATCAAACCAGACAACATTCTAGTGTTTTCACTTGATGTGAATAACAAAGTCAATGCAAAATTAACAGACTTTGGAGCAAGTCGAAATATTAATATGTTAATGACGAATATGACATTCACAAAGGGAATTGGTACACCAAAGTACATGGCACCTGAAGTCTTAAACAAAGAGAAGTACAAAAAGGCGGCTGATGTGTATTCATTTGCTATTACAATGTATGAGTGTTTTACGTGGAGTGACGCATTTCCAAAGGATGTCTACAAGTACGCGTGGGATATTGCAGACTCGGTGTGTTATGGCAAGCGCCCTGATTTAATGATGCTGACTGAAAAACAAAAAGAAGTTGTTGTTAAGGCGTGGCAACAAACACCAAAAGAAAGACCTGATATTGCGATGGTGATTAAACAATTGGAATTGTTGTGATATTTATTAAATGTGTGCTTTTTTGTTTAAGGATTTTTGTTTAATAAGTAGTTATAGAATGACTTTTGTTTAAATCGTTTTTTTATATTATTAAAATGATTATTTTGTACTATTTTTGAATATTTTCGGGAAATATATTGTTATTTTTTTGTTTTATTATTGTTTTTAATTTAATTATTAAAAAAATAGCAACTTTTTTACATATGTTTTACATTCCTTGTATTTCACAACAACAATTTGTTATTCAAAATTATCAATCCACACTTCCAAATTTGTTTGTTCAAAATCAACTTGTTGAACTATCTAAAACTGTTGAAATACAAGAAGAAACATATTTATCACAATTTGATACTACGGTTCGAGTCAACAAAACAACAATATCAAGCACAAGTGGAACATATTTGCCTGTTGATGATGATTGTGTGTTATAAAGACGGAGCTTCACATGATGTTTTTAAATGCAGCCGTTATTCCAATGACTGTAAATTTATAATTAGCATTGTTGAATTTTAACTAAACTAAAATTGGAAACGAAACGCAATTTATTTCTAACATAATGGTTAAAAATTATACTTAAAACCATCGCACTGGTTCTCATATAAAAAAGTTCAAGATATCAAAGAAATTACTACAAGAGCATTTGAACAAAGTACATTGGTTCCACCATTGGTTAAAATGGCTGGGTATGACTATACTAGATATCAAGGTATAGGGGGTCTATAAACTGGTTGGGATCTATAAACTAGTTGGGGAATGCTCCAAAACTTCGAAATTAATACAATGTAAAACATAATTAATCAATATTTATTGTCATTATTAAAACAAATAAAAACCCTTGATTTTCCGTTTTCGCTCACTTTTTGGAACAATTTTGATTTATTTGTTTGTGGA